ATCTTCTTTTTTTTGTTTGTTTTTGTTGTTTTTAGTTTTCATGCTACGCTAACTAGCTTCTGACTATACCAATCAAATGCCAAGGTGGTGTTGATTTTGTCTTCAAACCGGTCGAAGTAAGCATACTTTATCAAATTTCAAACTATTTCTTTAATGTATTTAAGGTGGGATTCCACGTTAAGCCAGTTTTTAGCATTTTAAAGCTCTTGGCACATGGACTTGATTAAGGTTGACAAAATTCCTGCATCCCTGCACCACAGCACTATGTTTGGCTGGTTTGGTCCCTTTTTTTTTCTATTTAAGTGCCTTAACCTCAGCCTTAGCTCGAACATAAAGCATCACAGGCTTTGCAAATTTTCTGTGAGTGTGTTGATGGTCTGGCTTTTTGTACATTACTTAACCTCACTCCCAATAATAACCATTACCCTTTGCAATGTATAACTTAGCACATATTATAATGTATGCAAACACACTCGAGCTCATTTACAGCAGCATCTTCTCCCTCAACGCACTTGGTGGACTTCCATTTATTAATAGCCTCCAATAATGATGTATTTGTTTGATATTGTTGAGACTTGTGGTACATTGTATTGGTTCAATAGCTGAAGAACCTTATTTGCTGGAATGAGAACTATCATTTACATTAAACTGTTAGATAGGATGAATTTATCTTTGAAATTTACCAGTCTGTACATATTTTTCTCTACAATTTGCTATTTGAGTATATTAGCTTGCAGACATGGTCAATATTTAAGAAGAAAGTATTAAAAATGCTACTGTGTATTGATAAGTACTCATAATTAAGTTCTCGTGTTTGTACCACGCAAAATATTTTATATAATCTCTAATTTAGGCAGTTTTCAGGCTCTATGGAAAATGGCTGTGTTTGTTTTATTGCATTAGTCCCAGGCATCAGGCCTCAAAATGACAATCCCACTGAAGAGCCAAGCACTGAGGACGTTAAAAACACGTTGTAATGTAGGGAGGGGAGGGGGGGTATTTGAGGTATTTGAGTGTATTTATAGAGCACAAGTCAGCCCCAAAGCACGTGAGCTTGAGTGGAAGATGTAAATAAGTAAAAACCTCCCTGAGAGTAAGATTTTGTTACGTTTGATGCTTTTTGTTAACTTTTGTGTACTGTACATTGCCAATGTTCATGTGTATGCACTTTTTTTACATTTTGTTAATATGTTGTCCAGTCTAATGTTTATCATGGAAATAAACTATTTCCTCTGCATTATCTGTGTAATCAGTTGGATTTTGCATGCATCCAGTGTAGACGACACACACTAGACTAAAGAACAACTCAGTTTAAAATTTTAGCAAAGCTTGTCATCATTTGTGTAAACATAGAGACTCAACAGCCACTTTGTTAGTTACATCCTTTCAGCTGCTTGTTAACACAAATATAATCAGCCAGTCACGTGGCAGCAACTCTGCGTATTTAGGTGTGAAGACATGCTTACAATTACCTGTTGCAGTTCAAACCAAGCATGAGAATAGTGGGAAAAAGGTGATTTAAGTGACTTTGGATGTGGCATGCTAGTTAGTGCCAGACAGGCTCATCTAAATGTTTCAGAAACTGCTGATCTACTGGGATTTTCCCACATAATCATCTCCAGGGCTTACAGAGAATGGTCTGGGGAAAAAAAAGAAAGAAAATATCCAGTGAGCAGCAGTTCTCGGGGAGAATGGAGTCTTGATTTCTGCTGTAACATTTGAGTGATAGGGTCAGAATTAGGTGTAAACAAGATGAAAGCATGGATCCATCCTGCCTTGTATTAATGATTCAGGTGGCTGTTGGTGGTGTAATGGTGTAGGGGATCATTTCTTGGCACTATTTGTACTCCTTACTATCAATTGAGTATCATTTAAGCACCATAGACTACCTGAGTATTGTTCCTGACCATTTCCATCCTTTTATGACATCTTCTGATGGCTGCTTCTAACAGGATAGCACACCCTGTCAGGAAGCTTAAATCATCTCATACTGGTTTCTTGTACAAATGGCTTCCACACCTTTGGGTGTGGTGGAGCAGGAGGTCTCATCTATGATCTGCAGCAACTGTGCTATCATGTCAACATGGACCAAAATCTCTGAGGAATGTTTCCAACATCTTGTTGATTCTTTGCGATGAAAAAATAAGTCTGTTTTGATGGGAGTTCAACCTGGTACTAGTAAGGTGTACCTACAGTTAAAAAAAATAAAAAAAAAGCATCCGGTGAATATATATCATATTTCTTTAGATGCACTAAAGAAATATACTACTAAAGAGAATGTAAGGGAAATGAAGCAAATCTGACCAGCAAATCTTCTGGTCTTGTCTTTCTCTTTTAGTCAAATGGACAGAGCAGAAAGCACCCTTATTGAATTAGTCAAATGAAGACGGTGTGACATCACAGGGCAGGTGACTGCTGGAGGAGCAAAAAGCCCAAAGTCCTACGGGCATGCGAAGCATCTGTTTGAAACATCACCCTCAGTAAGTAGCTTCCTCTTTCCATCTGCTTTCTGCAAACATTTTTAGTGTTTTCATGTCAGTGGTGCTTAGATAACATTCAAAACTATGGACAGTTAATTGCTCGAGGGGAATTCAGAATAGTTTCAGAAAGTATTCATTAACAGTAAAGACTACAATAGAAAGCTAGTAGAAAATGTGTGTAACTGCCTCATGACATTTAACAACATAAGAATTTTCATTCAAGCTTTGAAAAGTTCCATTGCTGTATCACTATTTACTATCATTAGATGTTTAATATGGATATGTCATTATATAATTACATATGTATGGTAGATGTTTAATGTTTTTCAAGTTTAAGAAACACTTTATTGGAGCGTTTAGTTTACTTAAATCCATCATGCCACCTTTAAAATTGAAGGCCATTTATCTTTTTATGACCAGCCGTACAGAAAGCTATGGAAATTTTACTGTCAGAGTAGATAATGCATCTGAATATCATCCCGTTGTACTGACTGTCTGAATTTGAATTTGAGCTTGTTACTTTGTGAGTTAACACTCTAAAGGAACAGTAATGTAGTTTTAACTGGAAAAACAAAGCCTATCCAGAGACCAGGCTAATAGTTTGGGTACTCCAAGTCACAAGTCTCTTATAAACCGTGTGCCTGCTATTGAAAGCATGACAGAGACATGAATGGGAAATGAAGAGGGGGTGGGGGTTTAAAAGTCAGTGTCACAGATGCCTCCGCCAGCTGCCCTTGTAACACAGCCATCCCAAAATAACACTTTAACACTTTAGATACAGTAAAGCTGCAAGTCGAGCTGTTTTTAGCTGCATAACAGATAACCAGAGCTGGAGAAATAACGATGAATGATGAATTACATCCTACCTTCCCATCAGACACTCACAGTATTATTAAGAGCATTATTTATTTAGTTTTAGATACGTATTTAAACATATTTTTGTATGAACCATCTTCCCATTGACTATCACTTTAGCATCACTTTATTTAATAGAATAATATATTTTTACATTCAAACAAACAGAATTTTTTTTAAATTGTTAAAGATTCGCCACAATCTTTATCTTATGTGAATGGAGCTAAAACAGGTGTCAAGGTTCAAAGATAACAGTTATGTTTTTATCTTATTAGGTAAGTAGACAAGCTTAAAAGAAATGATGAGCCACTTGGTGCTCCTCAGGCGTGAAATGGCTTAAGCAGAAGTACATTCTTTCCAAATCCTGAAGAGGTTTGGTCAGTTTCCTCACTCCCTTTTCAGCCAGCAAAATCCGTATTACTATGGCGATTACTCAGTGAGAAAACTTCTCATGCGGCAGCTCATGATTTGGTGTTTGAAATGAAGTCTGTGTGTACAAAACTACCTCATGCAACAATACACTCTCCTTGCTTTGCACTTGGTTTGCTTGAAAGCTAAGAATACCAATTCCACATAACACTGACGCCCGTTAAGCTGTTTTCCCCTTTGTAATAATCGACCTTACACCATCCATCATCATGTCTGTGGTTAAACTCTGTTCTCATCAGACCCTGGACAAACAATTCCAGCTGACCTTTCTCTAAACCCCGTCACCAAAACAATCACAAACATTTGCAGACAGTCTGAAGGCAGGCACGCACAGCACAAACACGCCTTGTCTCAGAAGCAGTAATTGACAGCGCATGACGCCTCACAAAGGCACAAGCTTGACTAAAATGTCTTTTCTTGCATTCACAAATTATACAAAACATGGATTAGATGCTACTGAATGCTTATTAATGTAGTGATTTAGGTTTTATGTGTTTGTTCAGTGATATTAGATTTGTTCAGACTGCCTTGTCTGACCTTGGCACCTGGCAGCTGACCTCCTATATAACTCGTCGTGTTTCCTTTTTGGCCTCCTGACTCATTGGCAGCAGCCAGACCCACTTTAATTATAGCCGCTACAGCATTCCTCTTTGACAGAATAGGAAGAGATAGAGAGAGAGGCCTCAGGAGGGCAGGTGTGAACAGTGCAGAAGATTATGCAAAAATAGAGAAAGACTCAAGACAGTTGATAATGGTAGCGTCTGTTGTGTGATTTCATCTCACTGGGATGGGCAGGCAAGCCATCCGCGTGACTTCATTATGCCATGCTGAATCTTGAAGTGTCCCTAACACTCTTTTCCTAATGCTAAGACAGAGCAACAGCCATGGGCCAGAAGCTGGAGAGGCTGTCGGAAAAAGACGAAGACTCACTTGATAACTCTGACTGTTCAGAGCAAACCGGAGATACACAGCAGACAGAGGTAGCAGAACAAGACGAGGGCAAACACCAGGATGATGGCAGTTTTGTCACCCCGTGGGGTATTGGTGGGATTAGTGGGATCAGTGGCAGCAGCCTAGCCACTGGGAAAGCATGGGAGCACACAGTCACATCTCCATGGACAGACCCTCAAAGTGGGCAGCCAATCAGGTCTCTAGGTCAGAAGGAGCACCCTCTGAACACTAGGACAGAGTGGGTGGGTGGAGTAAGTAGAAATACAGAGAAGTCAAAAACTGTCCCGAGGGCTAAGGAGACAAGACAAACGTTTGGCAAAAAGCAAGGCTCTGAGAATAAGGCTGTGCCCTGTGCTGGGACTACAGCCATGGAGAAATCAGCCTCATGCAATCCCACTACTGAGGAAGACTTTGTGGTTCTTGAGAAGGATGAGACGTGGACATCACCGGGAGGGGAAAACGATATTGTTTTGAGGCACAGGATAAACACAGAAAAGCCTGAATCACTAAATAAAAGAGGAAGTAAGGAAGACACACCTGATATCTGCAATGTTGATAACTTTGTACATCCTTCCAAGAATTCCCCTCAGGAAAAGGGTAATGAAAAGAAAAGCAGAGGAAGCTCTGACACACTTTTAATGGGAGCTGACACACGTGCTAGGACTTCACCCACGGTCTGTTTTAAGAGGGAAATGGGTCAACGTTTGGCTGAAGTGACAGGCAGCAGGTGTCAGCTAAAAGGAGATGGTTGTGTTGGAGCTGGAGCCCAGAGTGAGACAACTGGTAGCGGAATAGCAGAGGGGGAGCAAAACTTGAGAGACCACACCAAGGAGAAAGTTTCTACTGACATCCAGCAGGAGCACCTGTCAACGCTAAACAAATCCAAAAGTCAGGATAAGGAAAGCCACAGTTTGGGGTTTCTTCCACAAAGACAACAAGTGGATCAGTCGTACCAGAACAGGTTTGCTGGGGCTGTGTATAAGAGGGCTAAAGCAGGGGTCACGGGCAGTCTTTCAGCATGCACCAAGAAAGATGACAGCCAAGCTGTTGGCAAAGCAGCCAACTCTATAACACCGCTACTGCAAGACAATCCCCCATTTACAGTGGAAGAATGTGATTTGATCCCTAGTCCCCCTCTGCCAGAGAATGGAGGCTGTGATGGAAAGATACAGGTCGCAAGCCTAAAGAAGGAGAGCGAGCTTGTTTGCTTCTCTGCTGTCATCACCCCTCCACCTTTAACTCATGTGATGCCCAATAGAGACACAATGGTGAAGCAGCTTGACACAAATGCGGTCAGTTCAACAATGGCACCAGACGCCACGTCTAACAAAGGTGAATCGGTGACAAAAGAAAAGCCCAAAATCAAAGGTCCACCGCCACCGGTTCCCAAAAAGCCTAAAAATCCATTTATAAAGCTGAAAACTGCACAGTTAATGTCTACAGATGTGCAAAGACGAGGAAAGGAACACCTGCGTTCAGAGGAGAGGGTCAAGAGGAGGCACACTTTTCATTTTAACAGAGACCTTCCATGCAGCACTCTAGCTAATCAGGATATGTGCTTACTGTGGGATGAAAAGGGCACTTACACTGTGCCAGCTAACATTCGTCGACTCTCTGCTGACCTTAGCCCTTGGGACCATCTTTCACTGAGGCACATGGATGACCGGTATGGAGATATGATTGACTTTGAGTACTGTGTGCGAATGGCAAATCTGTCTCCAGAGGAAGAGACACAAAACTTGGACATGTGGCAGAAAAGAGTATTCCCAGAGAGACGGACCAGAAGTAAATGGTCACCTCCACCCTACGCACAAAAGCCCTCGAATCCATTTGAGACGCTTCCCAAACCGGTGGTCACAGCTGAGAATGAAGGTGAAAGACCAAACCCTGCGTCTTCAGGGAAAAAAGAAATAGACCCAGAGGTCCAAATTGAAAGAGTCCACACACAAGTCAGCGACCATAACCACGTTAACTATGCTTACCATAAAGATATAGGTGATCGCAGCACTGAGAGAGATGCAGGGGATGGCAGTGAGACTGGTTCCTACAAGCCTGTGGCAAAAATTATCAAAGAAGCAAACCAAATGCAGAGACATCAGGCCGGACGGGGACCTGAAGGGTCCAAAGCTCCAGTTCGTGTGTCAGAGCAGAGTCCGAGCATCAAAGTATCCCAAATGAAGAACGCCTTTGATGTCCCAAAGAAATCCAAAGAAAGGCCAGCAGAATTGCAACAGTCTCCAAAGAAAGGTAAGTTCTTACATATATTCTATCAAACCATTTATGCAAGCAATAATGTTGACTTTCACTTAAAATAGTTATCTCGTGGTATATGAAATCTACTAGAAGTGTCGTTTGATCAATTCAAACATTTATGTTCAAAGTAAGGTCATGGTTGTCTACATCAGCGGTCCCCAACCTTTTTTGCGCCACGGACCGGTTTATG